TGTTTTCCTGTATATGAAATCCAGGAAAGGTACAGCTAGAGAGATGGTAAGTGGATTAATGGTTTCTTGGAGGTATAGCAGGGGAAGTTAGGAAGAAATGGGGAGCTAATAACAGTGAGTATAAGAAAGAAGAAAATGTTCTAAAACTGATTGTGGTAATGATTGTACAACTTTTTTTTTCTTTTAAAAATCATTTTATTGGGGGCTTGTACAACTCATCACCATTCATACATCCATTGTGTCAAGCACATTTGGATTGTACAACTCTTATTAACATGACTGAACTACGGAATTGTATGATAGGTGGATTATGTGCCAATAAACCTTTTTTTTAAGACTATAGAAGCCTAGGAGGAATTATTTGCAAACCATGTCTCTGATAAAGGACTTTTATCCAAAATATATAAGTAATTCTTCAATTCACACACTCCAGTTTTTGTTAGATAGTAAAACATCTGAGTAGACACTTCAAAAAAGACATGAGTAGCACATATGCACATGAGAAGATACCCCAATCATTAGATAAATGTGCATTGAAACAATGGTGGAACCCTACCTACTCATTCCAACAGTTAATGTTTTTTAAAACTGTCAATACCAAACGTTAACAAGGATGTGGTACAAGTGAACCTCTTTACTTTCTCTGCTGGGAAAGTAAAATATTGCAGTCATTTGGGGAAACAGTTTGGCCATTTCTTATACAATTTATCACACACTAGCAGCAATCCAAGCATAGATATTTATTTATCCAAGGTAAATGAAGACTATACTCACACAAAGTCTATGTGAATGTTCATAGCAGCTTTATTCTCCATATGTCATCTCTTGGGGATTGGATGGCAAATTGTGGGATTATCAGTGCAATGGAATACTACTCAGCAAGAAAAAGGAACAAATACAACCAAGTACAATCTAGTGATGCACATAACATACATGAAACGCAAAAGCATCTATCGGGCTAAGTGGAAAGAAGCCAGCAGCAAAGATGAGATACTGTTTGACTACATTTGTATGTGTATGAAATAAAGATTATAGAGAGCAGGGGTTTTCTGTGGCTACAAAGTTGCCTGAGGGAGCTTTTTAATTCAAAGTCTCTCAGCATTACAATCACAGAAAAGTATCAGGATTTTGGTGCTCAGGACCAGTCATTCAGGTAAAGACAGTCATAAGGTAGTTGTAATACAAGGTGGCTTCAAAAAGTTTGTGGAAATTTTCCATTATCTTTTAATTCCATTTCCCCACAAACTTTTTGAAGCCCTCTTATGTTTCTATAATTTTGGTTTGAAGTTGGAAGTAGAGATAAAGGTTTGGGAGTTATCTACAAAAAAATAGCCCAAACCAAGGAGTTAGTAAAATGTTCCATACTTTTTACATATCATACACCCTTGTAAATAGCATACATATATATCATGTCCAGTGCACACAGCAAACTAATGTTCAAGGAGGTTACATATAACATATACATTTGCAAAAATAGAACACATAAGGTACATAATTTGCAGAAAAACACAGTACTCTTCTCACTGCTTCCTCTCACTTCTAACTAATCTGACTTATAACCAAATCTGAAATAAGCGAACTACTTCAACTTAAAAGACTGACTTCCATCAGAACTAAGTGAAGATATTTTCCAGGTATGTACCACTTCAGACTCACCTGATTTAACTTTTCGGTGTGGTTCAGCCTTGCAGTCTCAGTGGCATGGGATCTGGAAGCTTTTTCCACATGTAGCACTGGCTTTGGTAGCTCCATGTTTGGCATGGGCTGTGAAAAGTGCACCCTCGATATGGGAGCACCTGCAGAGAATGACCCCTGTTTTGCTCTGAATGGCTGGGTAAAATTCGTACCTTTTGTGAACAAAAGGAGAGAGAAAACTGGTTACTAGCAACTTCCAATTTCCCTTCTGGTAGTTGTATAAAGAGGTTATAGTGAGCTACTCAGCAAGAACTTAAAAGTAAGAAAAGTTTCTATTTCCATATTATGCCAATGAAGTTACATACAATGTGAGTGATTAGTCATGTGCAGAAGAAAACCAAGTGCTAATACATGTCACTGAAGAGGCCGATGCTTTCAAAAACCCACTTACGATCACCTGAATATAATTAGAGAGGCAGGATTTAATGGATAAAAAGCTAAAACCACTTACGATCACCTGAATATAACTAGAGAGGCAGGATTTAATGGATAAAAAGCTAAAACCACTTAAGATCACCTGAATATAACTAGAGAGGCAGGATTTAATGGATAAAAAGCTAAAACACCGTTTGCTATTTAGGAGACCAAAACTCTTCGAGTCAGGAGTCTGCGTCAAACTGAAATTCTCATCCAGGTGGTACATGAGGGGTGAGGGTGAGGGAGACTCTCTGTGAAAATGACTGGCATGCTGGAGGCCCTAAGGATGACACAGGAAGGGGTGACGTTTTGTTCTGATGTACATAATGTCACTATGAGTCAAAGCTGACTCAAGGACAGCTATCTCTCTAGTATATTTGGAGGGGGGTGGTGGTCAGAAAGCTATAAAGATTTTACAGCAGTGTTTCCCAGAGTGGGTGATATTGGCCCCTGGAGGACACTGGAATGATTAGGGGTGGGGGATGGGGGTGGCAAAGCAGATACCTAACAGTTAATCCTAGATTATGGTACAAAAAGTTTTCGTAGCCAGATACGTTTGGGGATCTATGTTTTATAATATAAATTTTCTCCTGAAATTCATAGGGAGGGCGAGTATCATGGGAGTGGTACAATTCAAAAGATCTATCACTGAGCCTCATCCATGTCTAGCTCTTTCTTCACTTAAAGATCATGTTCACAGAACAACAACTAACAATTACTCCCCAGTTATCCTGATGACAGGAAAACGGGGCCTTGGGTAAGACACACAAACAATCCAATCACAGGAAGAGAGTGTCCACCCCTGTTGGCAAGCTGCTTTCTTTAACTTAACCGCTTGTAAGTCTGACAGCAGGAGTTAGTCTCCCCAAGTTTGAACACTGAAACAATTGAGAGCTAGACCCTGAGTGCTGAGTAGAACTCAGAGTGTGAGGATCCCTAAAATATCCTTACCAAACCACATTCCACACCCACACTTCATATATTGGTTTGTAGACTCTTGGCACATGCACATGATGCACCGACATGAATCAAAATGGGGGTCCTGGAGAAAAATTATCACTGGGATAGGCATGAGAATTCTCCCAAATAGGTTCCTACTCCACCTAGTGTACTGTACAGGCTTCAAGGGGTTATCATGCAAATGATCACACTGGACTTCCGAGCCATTAAAAAGGGCAGCAACTGGGCAGAAATGCGCTGGATGAGCACTCAGAGGAGCCGGCGTCCAACCATGGCTGCACCGCTTTCCCACTATGCGACACTGAGAAAGTTATGTAGCTTTCTAGATTTACTGATCTGTAAGATAGGGCTGCTCCATTTGCCCATCTATGGTATGGTCTGAAAATTAGGGTACAATGCTGCACAAGCAAGGTGATTATTTCATTATGTGATTACTGCTGCAGTGCCATTATAAAGATCAGGTGGGCTAATGTTACTAAGCCTAAGCCAAGGTCACTGCCAGAGAGTCAATTCTGACTCCCTGTGAGCCTACACAGGTGAGACTTCATTGTTATGGGCACAGAAAGCCTCCCCTTTCTTGCTGGGAGGTGGCTGGCTTCATACCCCAACCTTCCAGGTAGCAACCCAACACATAACCCACAAGAGACTCGCTACTAGTAACTACTCTTGAAAACATCTCACTCAGTACAGGATGTCTTTTTAACATGAACGCACACAACTAATAATCATTTACAGTATTGAGATGTTTGAACAATAGCAGTTACCACCTATTATAAGCGTACTAAATACCAGGCACCAGATCACGCACTCTACAGATCTGATCTCATTTAATTATCCCTACAACCCCCCATGAGGCACGTAGTAGTCTTCCTCTTTTACAGAGATAGGAAAGAAGCCTCTGTCAGGGGAAGCAACTTGCAAGTGGTGGGACCAGGGTTCGATTTCGGGTACTGTTGACTCCAAACTCATGAAGCAGAGCCACTCCACAAGTGGGACATAGGAAAAAGCCACCATTGCTCGAGAGCGCTGCTGCTGCACAAGAGTTACTAGCACCGACATGCTTACCTGTTGGCCACACTCCCTGCTTCTCCTCTGCTCCGCTCTTCTTCAGCGTCAGCAAAGAACCTGCCCTGGTTTGCTCTACAGAAATGACATCTGAAGCTGCATTCAGCACTTCAAACATCGAGAGAAATCCATATTGCACATACTGGAATGAGCGTCCAAATCGTTTGGCAAAAGCCTTTTCAAAATCAGAAAGAAGAACTGGAGATAACGCCAAGAGATCTTTCAACTCGCTCTTCACAACAGCGGGCAGGATAGGGGGTACTCGTCCTCGGTAAGGGATTTGGGCCCGAGAGCTCGGCCCAGGGCAAACACTGGTCCTTCCCTTCGGCACAGAGTTTCGGACCTTGTGGTTGCTCCTCTGCTTCGCCACCAAACTTGCGATTCCTCTGGTGGATTCATCTGGAATAGCTGAGGAGATAGCAAACTCACGCCATCAGGATTGGATCAAAGACGCACTCCTTTCTTTGTCCTTTCTATCTGTGGTTCTACTTAAACATTTTTCTTTATTCTCCCTGAGCTGTTTCTCCAGGAGCACATAATTAAGTCCCTCATTCCTAGTATTTTAGACAACAGTGAAAGCCAAGATTTGCTGGCTAATTACTGAAATTTTTAAACTCTTTTTAAAACCTCAATGAATCACAAATTTGCTGTCTTCCCGTGCTTTGTAGAATTTAAAACGTGGTTTTATAATGAGAAAATCCCACGGTGTTTCTCCCGGCTAAAGGCACACTAACCTAAAATTAAATAGCAAACATAATTTTTATGAATGCACATTTTCTCGGGGAAAGAATTTCACTTTGCTGAGGTTCTGACTTTGCTCACAGCCTCAAAGGTTGTGACTATGACACGTCTCCATATTTATAGCCACCACCACCGGCTGCAACCACCCCTCCTGCAGAAAACCCCCCAAATTTTAGAATCCACTGCTTGGGGCACAGGACAATTGCTGAGCCCTAACAATCTTCAGAAGGTGAGTCTTTTTATTACAAAGTGTGCAGAGCTTCCAAACGTTAAACCAACCTTTTAGGATAACAGCCCCCTCCCCAGACCGGCAGACGCTCACAACATCAGGCATGTCCAGAATCAGCTCCATGGTGGACCCGTAGCCAAGGACGCGCAGTGGGAGATGGTTGCCAACCATTGAAAGATACTCCTTTTCCAACTGCTGGGGGGTCAAGCCATCTTTGGTGGAAATGAGAAGAGACCTTATTTCTTTCCGCAGGCATTCCTGTATTTGCTCTTGTTCCGACATCGCCGCCTACGTAGGGTTCAGGTCACAAACACTGCTCCTGAGGAAAAATGAACAAGTCCAAGATGGGAGGGGGGCGGAGGTTAAAAAAATCACTGTAAGAGAATATAAGTAACTCAATCGTGCATTTACAAGGTGAATAAAACCCACCCACTGCCATAGTTTCCATTCCGAGTCATAGTGACCCTATAGGGCTGGGATTCAGAGGCTGTAACGCTTTCCGCGCGCAGAAAGCCTCATCTTTCTCCCGCAGAGCAGCTGGTGGTTTCAAACAGCTGACGCTGGGGTTAGCAGCCCGGCGCCGAACTCACAACGCCACCAGCAATACCGCGAGGGGCGCGCCAGCAAGGGCCCTGCGCGACGTAAACTCTAGCTCAGCCTCGGCCAGGTACCTACCCGCGTCCCCGGAAACGGCGGCCCGACTGCAGGGTAAGAAGTTCGTGTCTCCTGTAATGAACTCCCGGCCCCGCGGGCCCTCGGGGCGGTTCTGGGGTCTGGGCCTGCGTTGCGGGACTCTGGAAACCAGGAACGGACGGTGGAGCCAACGCCGCGCCCGGAGCCGACCCTGGACGCCGCCCGCCTGCTCCACCCACGGCCCGGCCTTCGGACCTGAGGCCCGTTTCCTCCGCCGACCCCTCCCGGCCCCCCACG